CTCCTGGCCAGATGTAGGGATGGGGTATGTTCCTGCATGGGCATTTGCAGAGCACATGGGGCATAGTGGATGATAGGCTGTGGAGGCAGTGCCAGGTGACAGTGCTCGCCTGGGTTTAGCCTCTGGAGGGAAGAAGAAAGCCAGAGCAGGGCCAGGGGCTCTCCTGGTGTGGTGGAAGGGTGGGATAGATGCTTACCTGTCTGTGCCATTTCTCTCCAGGAAGATCTGGCAGAAGGAAGGGCCCATGGCTTTCCTGAAAGGGGCGTACTGCCGAGCCCTGGTCATTGCTCCTCTCTTTGGCATCGCACAAGTTGTCTACTTCATTGGTATTGCAGAGTTCCTGCTAGACATGCTTCCCAAGCACCGGGCCTAGTCCAGCACACCTGTGTGTGCCCCTTGCACCTTCTTCAGCACTGAATTCATCCCCATATTCATCATCAATGTCGACTGAAGTCAGAGGAACAGCACAAAGGGTTCGTGCAGGGATGCTGAGGGGATTTAGTCTCCAGACAAGCAAATGTAGGGAGGGAGAGAGTCCCTTTTCTGTCTTGGTCTGGAACCTGCTCCCTCCTGCTCCTTCCACGGACAATACCTAATTATGCATAATTTTTTTCTCTTTCCTTTTGTTTTTAAATTGTAATTCTTAAGGACACTAGTAAGCACAGGCTGGACTTGCAGACCCAGAAATCTCATTCATCCCAGCCTTGGGGATGAAGGGGGCTGGGAAAGAAATAATCTGAACCCTTATCCACCCTTGTCCTCTTCTTTCTTCCTGGAGTTCCCAGCTATCTGAGGAGGAGCTGGAGGGGCATCTGTGTCCCCTTAGCTCCTTCTTGGCTCTGCTGGCCCTGGGTTGAGAGTGGGCAGTACACAAAGGGGCCTCATTTCATTGCTGCTGCAGGCATGGTGCAGGGGATGCTGGATCTGGCAAGTTCCTTGGTCTGGAAACCTTCACTCCTCCCTTCTCCTTTTCTTAAAACAAGTTGGACTTGGATTAACTTCTTGCAGATCAGAGGAAGGGCAAGGGAATCATTACTATTGATTTTGAAATTAATTTTGTTTTAAAGCAAAGGGATGTCCCTCCTAACTATGTGTTGCAGGCACATGTGGGTGAGGTGCAGAGGTGAGATGTCTGTGGAATCACACAAGTGTCTGAAGGTGCTTCAGTGCTTGGCTACAGGCTGGGGAGAGAAAGGAACTTGGGATCAAGTTGTTTGTTTTGGGTTTTGGGTTTTTCGGGGGTTTTTTTGTTTGTTTTTCCTTTAATGCAGGGGTTGTGGGGAGAGAAAACCAAACAAGAAACCACTTACATTCCTTCAGCTTCCCTGCCCCTGGGATGATAAAGTAGTGGCCACAGGTGTAGACTAGCTAATTTTTTTTTAATTATTTTTTTTTTACCAGCCTGCAGTTCCCAACCTCCAGGAAGCTGCACTAGAAATGTGACACCTGTGTGCTCACCTCGCAAGGTGAAAACACAAGGTCTGGTTGTGCTTTGATGTTTGACTTGGGCTTGTTTGGAGCCAGGTGGTGTTGAAGAGACTGAGGTTTCTCGCACCCTGAGCAAGGAGCTATTTGTGTGTACGTGATTACTGGGTCAAGTCCTGTGGATCATGAATAGTTGTCATCCTGCTTGCTTTGGGGTGGTGATCATTGTTGGGTGGCAGGGGGCAAATCCACACCTACATCTGCTCCGTCGAAAAGACACTGCCCCAGCTAACATTGCTTGTCAGAGGACTTCTTGATTGAGTACTCTCTTGGGCTGTGTAATGAATTCTAGTTTAACTGTTCTAAAGTGTGGTGATCTCCATTATTTATTCTATTTGGTGCAATCCACCTGACTTTGGTGTTTAAATTAAATTGGTCAAATTCACTTTTCATTCCTTCTTTTTGCTTTGTTCTCCAGGCACTTGCTTGTTGTTTGTGTTTGAAATGTATATTTAAACTAATTATTTTTAAAATCTCTGTTTTTAATGTTTAAAAGAGAACCACCTCTGTATCAGTCTTCTTTTTCAAAACCTATATGTTGAGGGCCTTCTTCCTTGGTGCATTCTTTTTCTCTTAGAAAAAGTTGTTCTGTGTCTGATTTGTTACTTTGTCACTTGGCAAACATAAGTCATTTTCTTTCTTTTTCTTTTTTCTTAGTGATTTCTCTGTGTATCTGGGAAAGAATCTGTGCAAAGATTATGATAGATGTCTGTGCTGTGTATAGTGCTGTGATGCTGCTCTTGCTCTGAATTTCCCTTGAGTGGATTAAAAGAGAGAGATTTTTATATATATATTTTTAAGATGCACTGTTCCTTGCTGCTTCGTGATTTACAAGGAGGGGCCCCAAAAGAAACATTGCTGATAGAAACATCACTACTTTTGCTTGCCTTTCTCCCTGCAAGAATTTCCCCCTAAAGCTGGGTGACTTGCAGCTTCAAGGGGGCTTATGGAATGCAAATTTGTATTGTGGGGTTATATTTGGAAGAAATGTTGGTGCAGTGAAGGGCTGAGGTTCAGGGAAAGCTCTCCTTGTCCTATCATATGCTCTTAAAAACGTCTTTGTAAAGCTGAACCTCCTGAAATCTCCAGCTCTTCCACCATGTTGCAGCTGGTGACCTGAATGGGGCTGCTTGGATATGTCCCTGAGTTAGAACATGCAGAGGTGGCAGGGAGTAGTGGCAGTGGTCCTGTGGGAGTCCCCCAGGCAGGCAGGGTGCCTCTGGCCAAAAAAATATGAGTTTTAAATGAGGGAATTCCCTTCTGCTTCAAATATCACCAATTAACATAAACCTCTGAGTGTTGCTTGCAGTATTGTGGAATAAAAGCAAATAAATACACTTAGAGAAAATACACCTCTGCTCCCCTCGCTGTGAGTGCCACTTGTCCCCAGGGCAGAGGACAATATGGGGTCAACTTCTTCTGCATTCTGTCTGATCCCTCTGGAATAGGGTCATCCTCTGATCCCAGGCCCTTTTCAGTACCTTGTCCCCTCTTGGCTCTGTCCCTTTTTCCTACCCTGACCATGACTGTTGTGGCTCCAGTTGTTTGGGTTTTGTGGTGCTTAACTGCCCTTTGGGTTGAGATGCCATATGCCCCTGTTATGGGATTAGGCAGGTGGATGTTTTTGGGCTGATGGAATTCTGTGGAACTCAGTGAGGAAATTTCCTAAACCTCTGAGGGAAAATTCCTACAAAACAACAGGGAAATATCCTAGAAATAGGGGGATTCCTGGACAGCAAAGGGAAACCATCCTAGGTGACTACTCTGGAAAAAACAAAGGGGAAATTTACCATAAGAGAATGCAGGAATTTCATTGAGAGCACTAGGGCGAAATACTTGAAAGCAAAGGAGGAAGTATTCTGGAAATTTGTAGAAAGCAACGGGAGAACTTTGTAGAAGTAGAGATGACCTAGAAATGAACGGAGGAAAGCTCCTCAAATACTGGGAAAATCCTGAAAAGCAAAAGTGTCATTCCTTAAGAAAGTAACAGTGGTATTTCCTAGAGGGGTGGTTTCCCAGAAAGCAAAGGAGGAATTGCTGGAAATCAAAAGGAAAATACCCTTGACAGGAAGAATGAGATTTCTTGGGAAATAATTTCTTGCTTCCCAGGGAGTCATGGGAAAATTTTCTAGAAGGCAATGGAGGTCTCTAGAAATCAACAAGGAAATTTCCCAGGAAGCAAGGGAGGAATATCCTGCAAAAAAACAGGGACATTTTCTGGAAAGGGTGGTGGGATTTCTTAGGAAGGGTGGGGAAATTACCTGGGGCAATTTCCTGCTAATCCATGCAGGAGCTCCTAGTAAACAGGAGAGAGAAGTTCCTGGAAAGAAGGGGAAATTTCCCCAAAAGTAAAAAGCACAGGGGAAAGAGGCCAACATCCTGTGCTTCAGCCCCTATGACCTCCACTCTAGTGCTTGCTTGGCTAATAAATTTGTAAAACTCCTGCAAATCTCAGGGTTTCTTTGGTTTCTTTTACTGCTCCCCACAGACCTCAAACGGGCTCAAGGGAGGCCAACAAGGATGAGCACTTGGGCTGTGCAAGACCTGTCTGATATGGGTATTTGCTATTTTCCCCCTAAGTTAGTGCAAAATTCTACATAACCCACACTGCAATGGTCTGAGGCACAGGATGATCATTTTAAGTCTTGAATGGCTGTGCCCGAAAGCCGTGTTACTGGAAACCAGCTGTAGCCCCATCTGGGCACTGCTTCCCTCTCGGGCTGGGCGCGGGTGCTGCCGCCCCCCCCTGCCTTCTCCCCCTTTGCTTCTGGCAGGGCTGCTGGGGACGCACACGGGATTCCTCCCTGTGGAAGGCTGGTGTGGGCCCTGGCACGTACAGGGCTGATGCACGAGCTTGGGGTGGATTTGCCTCCGATTTTTCAATGTTTGTTTCCTTTTGCATGTACCCGCGGTGCCCTTCCCCGCCCGGCCGCAGCCCGCACGTCCCCGCGGCAGCGCCTGCTGCGCTGCTCTAATCGCAGACCCGTTGCGTAGAAACCGAAGCTGCCCGAGAGAGAAAAAAAAAAGGATTAAAACAAATACGATAAACACATAAATAACTAAGGCAGGGGCTTTCCAGCCCCCAGCCCGCCGCCGGGA